GGGGGGGGGGGGGCACCTCCCGGAAATGAGAGGGACATCTCCCTGAAAGTGCTTCTTTCAGGTTGGGATCCCTGGAGCCGGGACACCCACACCCATACGGACCTGCACTTGGGGTGAGCGTAGGGCAGCGTATGGCCGCGTACTCCCATAGAGAAGGACAGGGGCTGTATACTAATCACACGTAGCACCTGTCCTTCCCGGGAGCTGCTTGATACGGCCGTGTACGGTGTTTTCTCGTGTGAATGAGGCCGAAAACTTAACGTATCCAAGTAGACTGTATACTAATCACACGTATACTAATCACACGTAGCAGTCGAGACTGTGCAGACACAAACAAAACAGGTTTGTTTTCTACAGTAAAGATTCAGATACATTTATGAAAAACAATATAGTAGAGGCAGGATAGTACAAATCGGCCATAATGTGTAAACACAAGTTTATTAAGTGCCAAGAAAAAATTCCAGTCTTAGGGCATAGTTATAAAGCAGTTAATCTGACATTCACCAGACATTCACTGCTAGTGAATCTTCCTAGTGCATGTGTTTTACATGACACTGATTAATTGACCGCCAGAAAATGTTTAGTGAAAGTCACAAAGGGCATTTTATTTTTTTTAAACTTTTTCTTGGGATAACCCTGATTTTCCCCAACTCAATTATTTAAAAAGGTCAGTCTCAAAGGTAGGCCTATACCGCAGTGGTGGCGAACCTTGGCACTCCAGCTGTTTGGGAACTACAAGTCCCATGAGGCAGTGCAATGCTCTGACAGCCACATACATAACTCCCAGAGGCAGATGCATGTTGGGATTTGTAGTTTTGGCACAGCTGGAGTGCCAAGGTTCGTCACCACTGGCCTATAGTGTACTGCATTCTGTGTATAACTAGGGTTGCCATCTTTTCTTCAAACAAAACCCGAACACACTCTAGTGACGCGCGGACATTTTTTGGGAGAATGAGTCGTGGCTTATGCACATGTAAATAGCGCTACCCATTAATATGTAAATATCACAGTTGAGACTATTTTCAGTGGGGGGCCAATAGGCCCTATCTTAATTTTGGTTGTCCCTGTCTGCCTGACATCTTGTGTCTGGGTTTCAGCTGCCATGAAACCTGGACACAGCATTCAAAACCCGGACTGTCTGGGTGAATCCTGGACAGGTGGCAGCCCTATGTATAACAGATAGGCAAAGAACATTCTGAATAAATTAACAGGCCACTTCCCCTGCATGAGATTTCTCATAACTTCCTGACATGTGTCAGTCAAAGTAATGCAGCAGTGAGGTAATTAATACAGAAATTTTGAAGCCAATGATTCCAGTCAAGGACTTTACAGACAGTTATAAACCACACGCAAACATGTACTTTCAATACAAATAATATATGTTTCCAAAATGAAGGCAATGGCTTTTTTTTGTGCAATGGCTACTAGTCTTCCGGGAATCTTGCAGCCACACAGTAATGGTCATGAGCCATAGGCAATGCATCACAATAAAATGTACACTCTATTATAAATTCCTAACAGCAGTGACAATTGGAAAGGGAAATGCTGATTTGTTCCTAAGGGAAACGCACAGTTCTTTCAGACACATACTGTATGTGGGGTCTATTGCAAGATAAAAGCAGGCAGGGGATTGTTTGGAAAATTTGATGTATCTTTACACTGGACTACAAGAGCAGGCGGCTCTTTAATTAGGCGAGTTAGGCGGTCGCCTAAGGCCTCGCGCTCACGAGGGCCTCGCAGCCGCCTAACTCGCATAGTCTACAGTAGGGTTAGGCAGGGCTTTGCGCTGTGGGGGGAGAGGAGAAAAAAAAAGTACCGCTACGTCTGTCCCGACTCCCGCGCTCATCCGCGGAGACTGCACTTCCCATTCCCCTGCTGGGACTCCGCTCCGTCCGCAGCCCAGCCGGGCTTTACTAGTGGCAGTGCAGCCCCAGCAGGAGAGAGAGAGTGAGCCGTGAGAAAGCAGCCAGCCACACATGTGTCATGAGGCAGAGAACGGGGGCAGCAGTGACAGAGAACGGGGACGATTCTCTGAAAACTATCCAGGGCTGGAACTACTGGCGGGGGGAGGAGGTGGAGGACGCCGGGGCTGGGGCCCTGCACCGACGGTCCAATGAAGGAGGAGGCTGTTGTTTGAAGAAGCCCACTGCTGCAGGTAAGGAAGAGCTGCAAGGAAAGGGCCCCCTAACCAGCCCACTTGAGACCCTGCAGAGCCTACCATAGAGAGTCTCTGTGGGCTGTGCAGGATCTATGGTGGGTTCTGCAAGCCTCAGGTGGGTCCGTTGCTATGGCCAGAGCCCAGTGCGTTGCTATGTGAGTTAGGCGGTCGCCTAAGGCCTCGCGCTCACGAGGGCCTCGCAGCCGCCTAACTCGCATAGTCTACAGTAGGGTTAGGCAGGGCTTTGCGCTGTGGGGGGAGAGGAGAAAAAAAAAGTACCGCTACGTCTGTCCCGACTCCCGCGCTCATCCGCGGAGACTGCACTTCCCATTCCCCTGCTGGGACTCCGCTCCGTCCGCAGCCCAGCCGGGCTTTACTAGTGGCAGTGCAGCCCCAGCAGGAGAGAGAGAGTGAGCCGTGAGAAAGCAGCCAGCCACACATGTGTCATGAGGCAGAGAACGGGGGCAGCAGTGACAGAGAACGGGGACGATTCTCTGAAAACTATCCAGGGCTGGAACTACTGGCGGGGGGAGGAGGTGGAGGAGCCCGGGGCTGGGGCCCTGCACCGACGGTCCAATGAAGGAGGAGGCTGTTGTTTGAAGAAGCCCACTGCTGCAGGTAAGGAAGAGCTGCAAGGAAAGGGCCCCCTAACCAGCCCACTTGAGACCCTGCAGAGCCTACCATAGAGAGTCTCTGTGGGCTGTGCAGGATCTATGGTGGGTTCTGCAAGCCTCAGGTGGGTCCGTTGCTATGGCCAGAGCCTAGTGCGTTGCTATGCCCAGATCCCAGTGCATTTCCATGCCCAGTCCGTTGCTATGCCGATAGCCCAGTGCATTTCCATGCCCAGTGCGTTACTATGCCCACATCCCAGTGCATTTCCATGCCCAGTGCGTTGCTATGCCCATAGCCCAGTGCATTTCCATGCCCAGTGCGTTGCTATGCCCAGAGCCCAGTGCATTTCTATGCCCAGTGTGTTGCTATGCCCAGAGTCCAGTGTGTTGCTATGCCCAGTTCGTTGCTATGCCCAGAGTCCGGTGAGTTGTTATGTCCATTGCATTGCTATGCCCAGAGTCCAGTGCGTTGCTATGCCCAGAGTCCAGTGCCTTGCTATGCCCAGAGTCCAGTGCCTTGCTATGCCCAGTGCGTTGCTATGCCCAGAGCCCAGTGCATTTCTATGCCCAGTGTGTTGCTATGCCCAGAGTCCAGTGTGTTGCTATGCCCAGTTCGTTGCTATGCCCAGAGTCTGGTGAGTTGTTATGTCCATTGCGTTGCTATGCCCAGAGTCCAGTGCGTTGCTATGCCCAGAGTCCAGTGCGTTGCTATGCCCAGAGTCCAGTGCCTTGCTATGCCCAGTGCGTTGCTATGCCCAGAGTCCAGTGCCTTGCTATGCCCAGTGCGTTGTTATGCCCAGAGTCCAGTGAGTTGTTATGCCCAGAGTCCAGTGCCTTGCTATGCCCAGTGCGTTGCTATGCCCAGAGTCCAGTGAGTTTTTATGTCCAGTGTGTTGCTATGCCCAGAGTCCAGTGCGTTGCTATGCCCAGAGTCCAGCGCATTGCTATGCCCAGTGCGTTGTTATGCCCAGAGTCCAGTGAGTTGTTATGCCCAGTGTGTTGCTATGCCCAGAGTCAAATGCGTTGTTATGCCCAATGCCTTGTTAAGCCCAATGCGTTGTTATGCCCAGTGCGTTGCTAAGCACAGAGTCCAATGCGTTGTTATGCCCAATGCGTTGTTATGCCCAATGCGTTGTTATGCCCAGTGCGTTGCTATGCCCAGAGTCCAGTGAGTTTTTATGCCCAGTGCGTTGCTATGCCCAGAGTCCAGTGTGTTGTTATGCCCAATGCGTTGTTATGCCCAATGCGTTGTTATGCCCAGTGTGTTGCTATGCCCAGAGTCCAATGCGTTGTTATGCCCAATGCGTTGTTATGCCCAATGCGTTGTTATGCCCAATGCGTTGTTATGCCCAGTGCGTTGCTATGCCCAGTGAGTTTTTTATGCCCAGTGCGTTGCTATGCCCAGAGTCCAGTGCGTTGCTATGCCCAGAGTCCAGTGCGTTGCTATGCCCAGTGCGTTGCTATGCCCAGAGTCCAGTGCATTGCTATGCCCAGTGCGTTGTTATGCCCAGTGTGTTGCTATGCCCAGAGTCCAATGCGGTGTTATGCCCAATGCGGTGTTATGCCCAATGCGTTGTTATGCCCAATGCGTTGTTATGCCCAGTGCGTTGCTATGCCCAGAGTCCAGTGCGTTGCTATGCCCAGAGTCCAGTGCGTTGCTATGCCCAGAGTCCGGTGCGTTGCTATGCGCAGAGTCCAGTGCGTTGCTATGCCCAAAGCGTTGCTGTTCCTATGCCCAGTGTCCAATTCATATACTGTTCTGTATTGATGTATAAATGTATTGCTGGGATTTGTAGTCCCCCTACAACTTGTGCTATTCTGCATCAGAGTGTAAGCTCCTCTGCACAGAGACTGATGTGACTGTGGGGGAGGGGACATTAGAGTGTAAGCTCTGTGACTGATGGGGAGGGGAAATTAGAGTGTAAGCTCCTCTGTACAGAGACTGACGTGACTGTGGGGGGGCATTAGAGTGTAAGCTCCTCTGTACAGAGA